TTCCACATATTTTCACGTTTTGCCTGGCTATCCCCACTGCAGAGCAAAATCGTTGCCTCACCCAGCGCATGCTATAGACCCTGGTGGCCGAGTGCGCAAAGGCGTCCGTTATGGGGGCCCGAATCGGGCGATCGAAACCTAGCGCTCCCACATTACTGGCTCTACCATTTCGGTTCGAACTCATGGCATTTGAAGCCGTTCAGTCGCCAATGCTTTTAGCAAGTTTACACAAAAGCGGTTCAAGCATACAAAATCGGCCGGCGGCCTGCGTGCCTCTCATAGCCCAGTGGTTCCGCTGCTGGGCAGGGTGACGCAGACTCCTGACTACCAGTAGCATGGCCCCTGAGTGGGAGGGGGGCCGGGGATCGAAACCCGACTACTGGGAAAGGTGGCATCCTGGCCTACTATGAGAGGACTCCTCCACATCACAGATGACGTGACCAATGACGGGGCCACTGAGGTTGCTCCTGTGATGAGATGGGGGAACTGTCTGGTGAGCACCACTTCCGCAGGGAAGAGGGCCGGTTCGCCGGGGTGCCCTCTTTCGCTGAAATTTTCTTTATAGTGTTGATTTTATTTCTAGAGCTCTATTTTTTTCTTTTGTTGAAATGCGTTTGGAAATTATTCAAAGGTGATTAAATATTATCAGATCAAGTCAACAGGTTTAGGAATTTTGCTCTGGGAAAATTGTCTTTGCGTTGCGAGGGACTCCGTGCGGTGGGGCGGGACCATCGGGCCGAACTCAGACCGCCTCCTCTGTGAGGTTTACGTGAAGTTGACACAGACGTAGACAAACCAAGATGCCCCACCCGCTTGAATTAAATGTCTGAATAGCTGCCGAGGAGGGCCCTGGAAAGGGAGATCATGCTAGTGAATGGAGAAAATGGTGAGACTCCAGGGGCGTGCTGCGCGGTGATGCCTCCGGTGAAGGGCTGCCTCCGGCGAGGGCTGCCTCCGTTGCTGCCGCAACAGTGGGCCAGAAGACTGGTGGCGGCGGCCAAAACTCTTGACGCGTTTTGAGCTCTAGGGTCGCTAAATGGGACTCGAACCGAACGTGTGACCCCACCAATGGATTGCTCTCCGAACGAGGAATCGATTGATGGGGGTCACACGTACGATTCTAGTCCTGTTTAGCGATTCTGGAGCTCAAAACGCGTCTAGAGTTTTGGCCGCCTCCACCGGTCTTCTGGCCCACTGTGTGCCGCTGGCTAGGTCATCCTCCGGTAGGGGCTGACTCCCTCCCCCAGGACACGGACGGCGCGACCTTGGCGAATGCTCAAAGCGGACTGTCCGCGCACCCCTCGGCGGCGCCTCCTCAAAGCCTTCCCTGATTCTGTTTACGACGGCTCTCGCACCTCGCACGGCGCGGCGCGTTCCATTTTCACGAGGCCAGGCCTCGGGGACGCACCGCGCGCTGCCTCTCCGTGCCCCGCAGGGCACCCTGGGGCACCCAGCTTGGCTTGCCGGTGTCGGCGTGTAAGTGTACCCCCCCGACCCAGAGTACCCCCGGGTACACAACGCCTAGGGCCATAGTACCCTGGGGTACATGACGACTAGGTTCAATGTACCCAGGGGTACAATGCGCCTAGGTGCCAGGCGAATTGTACCCCGGGTACAATGCGGCTAGGCGAAATGTACCCCGGGGTACATTTTGCCTAGGCTTATTGTATCCCCCGCCGGCCGGAGGAGGATGCACGTCGCCTAGGCGCAATGCACCCCCCCGGATACAAAGAGCCTAGGCGAGGAGTATCCCCTCGGCCGGCCGGAGGGGGATACAAAAAGCCTAGGCGCAATGCATCCCCCCCCCGGATACAAAAATCGAGAAAAAAAAGAAGAAAAAAGGGGGGCCCTTCTCCCACCTCCGCACACAGGTCGGAGGGCCGCCTGCAACTTCGGTGGATCGGGGGAACCGGTGCTTTACAGGCGGCGACCCCAGGGGTTCTCGTCTGTATATGGGCCGGGCTTGAAGGGCGGGTTTGACAGTCTCTCTCTGCCTTGAGAGCCTTTGCTTTTCGCGGGGTGGTCTGTACCAATGTACACCCGCTGTCCGGCGCTCTCTACCAAACATACAGCTTGTTTAAGGGCCAGCTTCAAAGGACTTATCATCTCCTCCCGACGAATCAGGAGGACCCACCCGCGACCAATTACGGGTGGCTGGATTGACGGATCAAATACTCCGTCGCTCCAGTGCCGAGGCCAACCCGCCGAAGCGCAGTTGCTTTTTAGACACCCCAGCGGAGTGGCCAGGTGAATGTGACTCTGACCACTACGCTATCAAGCTTGTACGTCTGGCGTCGTGTTAGACGACGGGTTTGAGTTGCAGTGGAAGGAAGCCAGTCGAAAAATGTAATGAAATGATGGGAGTCGATCCCAGGACTCTACTGCCGGGCCGCACGACTTTTGCCGCTCGCCCACCACGGCCCATGACGAATGGAGCGGCGTGAGGCGGGCTCTTGACGCGACAGGAATGGACCGACCCGGTCAAAATTTCACAAGAGTTTGGGGAGTCGAACCGCCGACCTCAGCACGGAGAAGCGACGCCTCTACTCCCTAGACCACCACAGCACATGCAGTTCGTTGGCTGCAGTCACGGTTTTCAACCACACTGGGCGAGGCAGTAAAATTAAATGTTAATGTCCCTGCAGGAATCGAACCCCCGACGTGTGGGACTGTTCTACACGGCTCCGCTCTGATGGCCTCAAACCGTTCCACAAAAGAAAGGAAATCGAAAAAAAAATTTGAGATGCCGGTATTCGAACACCGCACTGTGCAAATGCGATCGAACGTCTGTAACATTTGCGGTGTTCGAATACCGGCATCTCAAAATTTTTTTTCGATTTCCTTTCTTTTGTGGAACGGTTTGAAGCCATCAGAGCGGAGCCGTGTAGAACAGTCCCACACGTCGGGGGTTCGATTCCTATAGGAACATTAACATTTAATTTTACTGCCTCGCCCAGTGTGGTTGAAAACCGTGACTTCAGCCAACGAACTGCATGTGCTGTGGTGGTCTAGGGAGTAGAGGCGTCGCTTCTCCGTGCTGAGGTCGGCGGTTCGACTCCCCAAACTTCTTGTGAAATTTTGACCGGGTCGGTCCATTCCTGTCGCGTCAAGAGCCCGCCTCACGCCGCTCCATTCGTCATGGGCCGTGGTGGGCGAGCGGCAAAAGTCGTGCGGTCCCGGCAGTAGGGTCCTGGGATCGACTCCCATCAATTCATTACATTTTTCGACTGGCTTCCTTCCACTGCAACTCAAACCCGTCGTCTAACACGACCCCAGACGTACAAGCTTGATAGCGTAGTGGTCAGAGTCACATTCACCTGGCCACTCCGCTGGGGTGTCTAAAAAGCAACTGCGCTTCGGCGGGTTGGCCTCGGCACTGGAGCGACGGAGTATTTGATCCGTCAATCCAGCCACCCGTAATTGGTCGCGGGTGGGTCCTCCTTGATTCGTCGGGAGGAGATGATAAGTCCTTTGAAGCTGGCCCTTAAACAAGCTGTATGTTTGGTAGAGAGCGCCGGACAGCGGGTGTACATTGGTACAGACCACCCCGCGAAAAGCAAAGGCTCTCAAGGCAGAGAGAGACTGTCAAACCCGCCCTTCAAGCCCGGCCCATATACAGACGAGAACCCCTGGGGTCGCCGCCTGTAAAGCACCGGTTCCCCCGATCCACCGAAGTTGCAGGCGGCCCTCCGACCTGTGTGCGGAGGTGGGAGAAGGGCCCCCTTTTTTCTTCTTTTTTTTCTCGATTTTTGTATCCGGGGGGGGATGCATTGCGCCTAGGCTTTTTGTATCCCCCTCCGGCCGGCCGAGGGGATACTCCTCGCCTAGGCTCTTTGTATCCGGGGGGGTGCATTGCGCCTAGGCGACGTGCATCCTCCTCCGGCCGGCGGGGGATACAATAAGCCTAGGCAAAATGTACCCCGGGGTACATTTCGCCTAGCCGCATTGTACCCGGGGTACAATTCGCCTGGCACCTAGGCGCATTGTACCCCTGGGTACATTGAACCTAGTCGTCATGTACCCCAGGGTACTATGGCCCTAGGCGTTGTGCACCCGGGGGTACTCTGCGCCGACGGGTACAGTTCGCCTCCTACACCGGCCAGATACACGATGCACTGCCTTCTGGGCCTTCTGCGTGGTTCGAGGCCAAGGCAGTGCAGCGCTCACTCCCCCCCCCCCTTACTTTTCATCTCCCCGTTTTGGCGGGTTGTGCCGGGCTTTGCGCCTCACCGCGTGTTTGGCCCGCGGCCCGGCTCGGCCTGTAGAGTCGCAAATGAGAAGCCGCCCGCCCCCGCGGCCACCCTGTCGCCCTTGCTTACTGGCTATTGCTTCTTTTTAAGTTTCATTTCCATTTATTGATTTTTTTTAAATTTCTGAAGTAATTGGATTGCGAACCCCGAGAAGTGGGGCGCTTTGTGGTTTCCCCGCTTTGTTCCGCGCTAGAGTGGAGTGCGCCGTCTGAAACAGAAATAATAGAGTGACACACAGGGGAACTGAGTGGCTGTCGAGTGCATGTTGCGTCGCTGCCTGGTCCCGGTGCGTTCGCCGCGCTCTCGCCGAGCACCACGTCGGGTTGGCCGCTGGGCTGACAGCTGGCTGCCTTTTCCTCTTCCAACTTCCTCGAGATTTTGCCTCTCTTTTTCCACCTCTCTCGTGCAGCATTCTTCGCAAAGAGATCAAGGCCATGCGGAGGACCGGTGGTGACTGACTCGGCTCGGTTGCCTCGTAGCTTTTGTTGGGGCAGCTGGCGGCGGTCTGCCTCCTGGGTGCAACCACGAGGTGGAACACGTGTCGTCGTCAGCGACCTTGACAGTGACCTTCACAGCGACCTTCACAGCGACCTTGACAGCGACCTTGACAGCGACCTTGACAGCGACCTTGACAGCGACCTTGACAGCGACCTTGACTGCGACCTTGACAGCGACCTAGACGGCGACCTTGGCGGCGTCCTTGGCGGCGTCCTTGAAAGAGGTGTACTCACGCTGCGCTCTTGCTTGCAGGTGAATGAGACCGCTGTCGTCGCTCCCCCGGGCCACGAACACCAGGTGAGTGAGAGGGACGAAAAGTCCTCGGGAAGATTCGCCGCTTTGTTCTCCCCCCGACTGGCCTCGATAGTCAATGGATCCTTTCTTCTCCGCGCTAATGCTGCTGCCCCTTTGTGGTGCTTGCCTCGCCCTCAACCTGGCCTGCTGCGCGAGGCTGCGAGTGCCACGGAGTGTCGGCCGCCACGCCACGCCCTCGCGGCCCTCAACCCTGGACTGGCTGGAGGCCGCGCAGAGCGAGGAGTACGCATTGTTGGCGTTCTCGACGGTGCGCCCTGCTGCGTTCCCCGCGAATGCCGGAGAGAGAGGTCCGCGGGCATTCTCTGTCATTCTGGGCCACGCCGGCTCCCGGTTTGCTCGGTTCGCCGCGCCACTCGCGTACGCCGCTGCTGCGGCTCTTCCATTATCGCATGATTCCACCGCAACCAGAGTCCCCCTCACCGCCCCTCACGCCGGCACGCCTCACGACTCTCTGGCTTTTGGTTCATTACGGAATGGCGCACCTGCGGATCAAGGCACGCTGCTGCAGGCACACTGCGCGATGGAAGCCTCCAAATCCAGGAGGACGTTTCTCCAGTAAGCTCGCTGACGGCGAAGGTGCTTCGCGAACACGGCTTACGCAGCGACACCAGCCGACTCGCCGCGCCTCGCCGCGCCCCGCGCCGCAGTTGCGGTTCCGCCAATCGAGCTAAAAGGGCGAGGGGTACCTCACTTCTCAAACAGGTGTACACTGACTGGTGACTATACTCCATTTCCACTTTGACTAGACTGAAAATATCACGAAATGCGTTGCAAAAATACTAAAAATTACGTGGTTTTGCCGACTTTTTCAGTGACTAGACTGAAACAAGGCAGTGACTGGAGTCAGGGGTGTACACTGACTAGACGAAGTGAGGTACCCTCGTAAAAGGGCGCGCCGCAGCCAGGCAGGCAGCCGGCCTCGAGCCGGCCGCAGCCACACGGAAAGAGTTCAGCCTCGCTCCTCGATCCCCAGCGCCTTTGCGGCGGTGTCGTCAGAGACCACGGAGAACAGTTTGGACGCGCGCTGCTTAGGTCCGTTTTGAGCTTCACTAGTCTTCGAATCCGTATCACGTGAAGAAAGATTGCCCCTCCAGTGGTTTCATCGCGCCCGTCGCTGCGGCCCCGTTCGAGTCGTGCAGGACACTTGCGCACTCGAGTGCCTACTCGTCACCGCGTGTCCGTCTAAACAGGTCTTTCGCAGTGCGGCGTCTCGGGAGATGCCGCCGCGATGCGGGTCAGGTTGTGTAGCAGTGCCGCGCCAACCTCGGCGCCAGCCCTGCCCGCACAGCGCGCATCGCGCGGCCGAGCCAGCGGCCCATTCCGGGGCTTCATTTGCCGCTCCCTTTATTCCGGCGACGCGCTGCTGGGACGGCGGGCCGCGGTCCACGCCGTGCACCACCATGACCGAGGGGGTATGCACACGCAGCGCGCCTTCCACTCCGCGGCCCCGCACAGTGGGCCAGAAGACCGGTGGAGACGGGCAAAACTCTGGACGCGTTTCGAGCACCAGAGTCGCTGAATGGGACTCTAACCAAACGTGTGACCCCACCGCAATAGATTGCTCTCTGAACGAGGAATCCATCGGTGAGGTCACACGTTCGGTTCGAGGCCTGTTTAGCGACTTTAAAGCGTCTAGAGTTTTGTCCGCCTCCACTAGTCTTCTGGCCCACTGTGTCGAGCGCCGCCCTGGTTTTACCGCTCGACGTGTGCGGAATGGAATATATGTACGCGGAGCGGGCGGGCGGGGCGGGCCCTGCCGGCGGCGGCCCAGCGCGGAAGACGGCTGCTCGGCGTCCGGCGTCGTGGCTGGGCGGGGCGGGACGGGGCGGGACGCAGTGAATGGAGCGGGTCCCTCCATCCGGTCATCGGTTTCCGGTTCAGCTGCACGCCGTGCCACGCCGCGCCGCCTTGGCCACCCCCAGCCTGGGCCCTCCGCCGTAATGGCCAGTTAAGCCGCTCGGCTCCGCGGTCATTCGTTAGAGGGGCGAGTAGTCCAGCGCTGCCAGGGCCTTGCCAGCGCCGCCCGATGGCCGACAAACTGCCGCGCCGTCCGCCAAGTTACCGCTTCGCCAGTTTCGCCGGACAGCACGTTTGACGTGGCAACTTGAAGAAGTTGGTGGTGCCTTCGGCGTCCGCGTTCGTAGGGCGAGGCAAGCCATGTGCCAGGGATGTGACGTCACTTTTGCTTGAACGGGAGTTGCGTCATGGGCGTTTTAATCAGTGTTGATTAGTATCCTGGGGGGGCTGATGAGTGCAAGCCACAGGGCCGCGTCGAGGGTATTAATATTGGCCCGGCGGAAACTGAAGTGCTCGTTGACTGTTCGCGGCTAGTTTGAGGCGCCCCGCCCCGCGCCGCCCCGCCCCGCCGCCACAAGTGTTTCGTTCGGCCCTAGCTCGCCTTCCCTTCGGCCGGCACGCCACGCACCTGGGCGCAGAGGGCATGCGGCTCGTCTCCCGGCCCGGCCCGGCCCGGCGGCAGGGCTGGCTTGAGAGGGCGCGCCCGCCTTCGCCGGCTATGAAATTAACTCGCAAGTTTTCAACTGCGGCGGGGCGGCCCGGGCGGGGCGGCCCGGCGGGGCGGCCCGGGCGGGCTGGGCTGCAGGGAGGGCCGCGCGCCGTCGCCGTGCCCCCTTTATACCCCTCTTCGGTCGCTCGCAAAAGAAGGACATTAGCGTGGAGAAAGTTCGCGGTGAAATATGACGCGCCTTCTTCGCGAGGCAGGCGGCGGCGGTGCGGCGGCGATGCGGAGGCTGCCGAGTGGAGGGTAGGGAGAGCGAGGGGTGAATCACTCTGCGTTCTGGTGTACACATGAGTACATGAGTACGGGTGAGTACACCTTGCTTTTCTCATAAATTTCACATTTGAAAACATTTTAAGTCTTAATTTACCGTTTTAAACGGCACTCAACGCGACATTGGTCGAAAAACTAGTGAATTTCGCCCTTTTTTAACTTGAGAGTACACTGAGTACGGGCAAATTTGTACACATGAGTACACTAGTGATTCACCCCTCGAGGGAGAGTACCATCCCGCACAGTGGGCCAGAAGACCGGTGGAGGCGGCCAAAACTCTAGACGCGTTTTGAGCTGCAGAGTCGCTAAACAGGCCTCGTGCCGAACGTGTGACCCCATCAATGGATTCCTCGTTGAGAGAGCAATCCATTGGTGGTGTCACACGTTCGGTTCGAGTCCCATTCAGCGACTGGGGCTCAAAACGCGTCTAGAGTTTTGTCCGCCTCCACCGGTCTTCTGGCCCACTGTGCCCCTTCAAGCCAGCGCGGCGGCCGGGCCTTGGGCCGCACTGCCGTCGCTGCTCGGGACTCCTGGCCGCGCCACTGCAGCCGCCGTGGTGCAATTTCGAGTTTGTCTCCCCAGCGAGACGGAGCAGTTCCACCCCTAATCCCTGAGGACGTCCCTGCTGCTTCCCGCCTGCTTTTCGCACCAGGTAGGCGCCTCACCGTCGCAGAATGCAGGCGCGCTTGTCCTGCTCATCCTCTTTCAGAAGTTGCAAAGCCCATAATGCGATCCTGGGCCGATTGCTGGGGCACGGGCGCGCGTCGCAGATTTTCTCATAGTTTACCAACTGAGGAAAAAGCGGTCCGAGCCCGTCGGCGACGGCCTAGTGCCAGCCGGAGGCGCCACCCGTCAGCCCGTGATCCAGGTGGAGCAGACTGGAGCGTGCGACTTCTCTCACGACGCCCTGTCAGAGCTGGCAGCCAAGCAGGCAGCCAAGCTGGCAGCCAAGCAGGCAGCCAAGCTGGCAGCACAAGCCTTTGGCGGGTACGGCATTCGGGCATCAGGCCTGACCCGGCGCTCCCCCGCGGCGACGCGGCGTGGACAAGCAGAACTTGATGAACTAACTTGCAAGTTCCAGTCGGCCTCCGCGGGCCGCGCGGGGCAAGGCAGGCCTTCGGGATCATCCCTGGGATCACCGAGTCGGGAGGCGAAGGCAGCGAGGCGCCGCCAAACGGAGCGGCCTCGTTTTGTCTCGGAAAATGGGCGCGGCTCGGACGTCGGCTTATCGGAAGCCACCTGGCCGAATGGTCGGCCAGACGACCGCGGGGCCGCGGATGGTGTAGATTGAACCTCGCGGCGTCACGGGAGCCACCAGAAGGCTACTTTCTCCAAATTGTGCCATCACTGAAATTCAAAGGGTGAGACATCTGACCGATTTTCGGTGATACAAAAAGTATGACCGAAAAACGGTCATACACAAATGTATGACCGAAAAACGGTCATACTTAAATGTATGACCAAAACACGATCAGACATCAGCGAGACTGGCTATTGTTTAGCTTGGGGATATATCAGCTTTTACCTGTGATACACTATAAAGTATGACCGTTTTTCGGTCATACATCGAAGTATGACCTTTTTTCGCTCTTACATTTCAGTACAGTATGACCCTTTTTCGGTCGTACATTTCAGTAAGACCGTTTAAGGGGTCGAAAGTCTGACCCGGTCTGACCTTTCTATTTTCAGTGATTCTGTCCGGCGAACTTTGATGTAACTGTTTTGGAATAAAATTGGTTTGATCGACTTTGAGTTACTTCGTCGATTTGGCTGAACAAATGGAAGCCAAGACTACTCCGGCATCGCTCCGAATGTGTCTGTCCGGCGCGACCTTTCCTTCCCCTCCTATTTGCCGCTCTGTGTCGCGGCCTGGCTGCCACAAGGGAGAGGCTCGCTCCCAGCATTTAAACTGCAGCGCGAGCTAAATAGACGAAATCGGATTCATTAAGCGAGTTGGCTCTTAACCGTGGCGGCGCAGGCGTGGCGGGCGAGGCTGGCGTGGCAGGCGCACGCACTAAGTGAAGTCGGCGGCGGTCGGGTACTCCCGGAGATTGGAGGTGCAATCTCTTTCCCTCGGCTCCGCGCGAGCCTCCCTGCACGGCTCTGTTGCCAATTTCCCCGCTCTTTCTGCTTCAGGCGCTCATTAGCTGGCTCTGCCTCTCGGCTTTTCGGGGCAGTGTTGGTCCCCGCC